GCAAATCGCAAGTAATACGCTTTTTTTTTAAAACGCACACTTAGGAAAAATTACCGTACGAGTAATCGAGTTAAATGAGAAACTTTTGGCGAGAATTATTGCAAAAAATTGACTCAAAAATCATGAGCGCTGAGTTATATACGATTTCTTTTAAAGATATTCAACTGTTTAACTGATTTCGGTGGGGAAAATCTCTTCAAATGGAAAGATATTGAATTTAATCGACGTGTAAAGAGGATTACTCGTAGTTACTCGGCGGAAAAGGTCGATTAATCGAGTAAAGAATTACGAATTACGAATTAGGCAAAATTTTACTCAAGTAATTATTTACTGGCTATTTACTGGCGATTTTGAATAGATTGTGTTCCTTCCGAGTAATTATTTACAATATTACTCGGAAGGAACACAGTTGGTGACGATTTTACAGTTTCCAAGCTTTTGCAGAAGCTCAACTCTCAAAGCCCCCACTAGATCTCATCGTCAGCTACATTTTCCGACCCCACATCGATAGGTTCTGATAAGCGGTTCTCGAGATTTCAAGGAATTTAGGCGACGCTCACGGTGCACTAGTATTAGAGAAAATACGGTATAAAAAACAAAGAAAACAAAGAAAAAAACTATACTTAAAGCATAGAAACAGGTACAAAATCCTAGAAGATTCTAGAAGAAATAGTAAAATCTGAAAGAAAATAGAGTTCTAGGATTAGCAAGGCTCTTTAACAAGCAAGGCTCTTTAACAAGCAAGGCTCTTTAACAAGCAAGGCTCTTTAACAAGCAAGGCTCTTTAACAAGCAAGGTTCTTTAACAAGCAAGGCTCTTTAACAAGCAAGGCTCTTTAACAAGCAAGGCTCTTTAACAAGCAAGGCTCTTTAACAATCAAGGCTCTTTAACCCATTCGAAACCGAAGCGTTTTTTCTTTTTTTTCGTCTGCGGACCAAGCCCTTTTTTGACATTTTTGACTCCGAAGCAGTTTATTTATGGTTGGAAAGATGTAAGAGAGTCTCCTACACTATTTATTTTTGATGAAGAACGATTTGGATTTGACTTCAGTACTTTTCAAGATCCTATCGATTATTATTCTTATTTTATCGACGACAAATTAATCAATATGTTAGTAGGCGAATCTAATAAACATGGAAAAAGGAAAACAAACTGGCAGGATTTCGATGTAAAATCTTTGAAGCTCTTCCTGGCTCTGTATCTTCAAATGGGAATCGTCAAATTACCGAGGATTCGTGACTACTGGAGTAGCAGGCCTGGGTTAGGAGGATTTTTCCCACATTACGTCAAGAGCAAAATTTGAATCTATTCTTCTTCGAAACCTGCGCTTTTGTGATAATGAACTGGATTCTGCAGGAGATCGGCTTTATAAGATTAGAGCTATTATGGAAAATTTCAATGCAAAACCAGAGGCTGCATTGATGCCGGGTAAATATGACACATCTTTTTCGCCCACGTAATTTGTAGATCTGTTACAATTCGAATATACATGTAATGCTGAAAAACAGCAAAAAAAAAAAAAAAAACAATTAATTGAATGAAAATAGCTCAATTAGCGCTGCAGCGAATAATCGCTGCTGCGGTCCGTTCCTGAGTTTTTGCTGCAGCGATTGTTCGCTGCAGAAGTTTCGAATGGGTTAACAAGCAAGACTTTAGCATCGACTATAACTAGAATCAAATCAGAAAAGAGATTTCTTTCAAATCTAGCGCAATCGTTTATCTGCTTTTGATGCTTTTAAGTAAATAAACGATCCCAAAGCACCGGTTTTTAAAACATAAAATTCCACTTACATAAACACTCGCCAGCAACAACAACCCACACAGCATAAAGCCTCTCATTTCTGTAAATATGCAAATTTTTAAGTAAATGTAAATGCGAAAAACGTTTAAGTGTCTAGTTATTTATTTAAATTTTCAAAAAAAAAAAAGCTTGAAAAGTTTAGAGACTTTGTAAAGTTTAAAAGGGATATTGAATAAAGAAAGGACACTAGCTTTATCTTATTAGATCTAGATTACATTACATGACAGATCTAGATTACATCTATTGGGTTGATGCATAATTATCCGGACTTCTTTTTGCGTGCTTGTATCTTTTTTTGTTTTGAAAGCTTTTTGTCTATTTCTTTTTTTTTAAATATTCGTTATTCTTTAGTGAACAAAATGCGTGTCGACAATCATATCCATCTTCGCCATATCATGCTCTACCACTTCGAAAAGGGATGGTCTGCCGCAGAGTCGTTTCGCGATCTCAAAGAACTGGAGAAGCCCCAACGGACTACCACGTCAATCGATCGCTCAAAAATTGGCAAACAAATAAGATCTACAACGATTTGGATGACTTGATAGACGATGTTAAAGCGTGGATTGCCTCCAAAGATCGTTTATTCTTCGCTCGTGGAATCGATCGTCTTCCAAGCAAATGGCAATCAGTTATTGATGTAGGCGGTGAATATGCTCCAGAATAATCAATTAAACATATTTTTCTAACTATTTATGTTATTTTTTGTTAAATAAAATCATTTATAAAAGAAGTCCGGATAATTATGCATCAACCCAATAGAATTCTAGAAAGGAGCTCTTCTTCTATCTTTCTTAAAAGCTATAATTTTCTTTTTAAAAAATAGATTCTTGAAAAATCTTTTTGTTAAAAAGAAATTTTTCTTGGGTGTGTCAAAAAGAAAACCACAAAAAGCCATGTAAATTTTATCAGTTTCCCCCAAAATGCCATAAAACATACAGAAGCCATTCCCCTTGTCAAACATTTGATTAAAATCAAATTTTTGAAGAAAGGAGAAGCTATAAAATTGCTGGTGACGTAAAGCTGAATTAGAAATAAGAGAAGTTTTTGAGGAAAGAAATTGAATAAATTAAAATAAATTGAATGAATTGAGTAAACCCTTGACCCAAAATCAAATACTTTTCCACGATTTTGCCAGTAAGGAAATTGTCAGTAAGGAAAAGGAAAGGAAGCAGTTGATCCACCATATAATCCAAACATATAACCATCAGATTTTCACCTCTTCAAATCGATGCAACATTTCCTTGCGAATTGCCAGTGAAAGAATATCAGTTTAAGAATGCGAAAGAGGTTTAGATTTGGGTGAGCAACTACAGTGGAACCTCTCTATAACGTAACTCACGGGACGGCTATAGCTTACGTTATATAGAGGTTTACGTTATATAGAGTGCCGTTTTATATAGCTTAACGTCGGCCGGGACCGGTCACGCCTTATAGAGAGGTTTACGTTATATCGAGGTTCGTTATAGAGAGGTTCGACTGTACTTTCAATCACAGAATCAAGAGCTCTTCGATAAGGGGATCCGCAATCTGAAGAATTCCCATAAGATTCATTGCAAAATGATAGAATCACAATGATTGACGTCCAAGCTTTCAAAATGGCTTTTTTTGAGTTGCGAAATAGTGTCATAAGTCTTTCCATTATAAATATTCCTCAAAAAAATGTCCCACAAATTTTCTATTGGGTTTAAGTCCGGTAAGCAGGCAGGCTATTCAAGAAAATCGATGTTGTGACGTTCTGGGAAAGGTTTAGCGGATTGGCCGACATGAATTGAACCATTGAAATGAACCATTGAAATAAACCATTGAAATGAACCATTGAAATGAAAAGAAAACAAATTGGAAAAGTTTAAGAATGCGCAACTCTTGATTGCGCTTCAGATTGCGGATTCCCTTGTCGAAAAACTCTTGATTCTGTGATTGAAAGTAGTTGCTCGCCAAAATCTAAACCTCTTTCGCATTCTTAAACTGATATTCTTTCACTGGCAATTCGCAAGGAAATGTTGCATCGATTTGAAGAGGTGAAAATCTGATGGTTATATGTTTGGATTATATGGTGGATCAACTGCTTCCTTTTCCTTTTCCTTACTGACAATTTCCTTACTGGTAAAATCGTGGAAAAGTATTTGATTTTGGGTCAAATTCCAGCCTGCCCCCCAACCCAACAACTCTAGCCCCATATCTTTAATCTAAAACAACTTAAAAGTGTTTTTTTTTCGCAATTATGTATCCAGCTTGGAATCAAGAGACTCCAGAATCTCTCATGTACTTTTTTGAGCCCTAAAATGACTCCAAAGTGACTCCAAAATGACTCCAAAAAAGATCTTACGATAATTTTTCTTATTTCAACTCATACCTACAGCATTTTCACCTATATTGTCAAGTTTTTGAGTGGCTTTTTTCTGGGCTTTATGTTAGGAATGCTTATTGAAAGGCTTGCTTATTGTTAGGTTGAGTGAAAAACGATCAAAACCGGATCAAAACCACATTGTGATCTAGAAAGGAGTTTTCGGGTGCTCCACCGAATGGTTGACTGTAATCCAAAGTAGCCTCAGCCTCCTCTCAATTTCCTTTCTTTTTCCTTTCTTTTCCTTTCTTTTCCTTTATCCATTGACAATCCACCCGGTCCCCTTCTCCTTTCCAAAGCTTAATCCCCAACAAACACTCCCCTTTGAAGGTTTTAGGATCACTAAAATCGGTTTTAGATCGCTAAAATATTTGAATCTTTTGAATATTTAGATTTTTTTCAGAATGATTCTCATTTTCTTTTATCTAATGCTATGTCAATCCCATTTTAAGTCATTTTCAGTCATTCTTTAACTTTAACTTTTCTTATCTTTCAATTCTAAAGGAAATATCTAATTTTTCTAGATTTAGAATCTAGAAGATCTAGAAGATAGCTAGCCTGTTACTGGATCTAAGTTGCTTTAAAGATATACCGGTTTTGATTTATTTGGTTTACTCGGCATGATAATCCCAATTCGCAGGCATTTCTAGATTTTTCTTTTCTTTCTACTTTTTCGAAAGAGCGTATCTAATGATCTAATGATTGATAGAGCCTATCTAATGACCTAATGATTGATAGAGCCTATCTAATGACCTAATGATCGATAGAGTGTATCTAATTTCCGACTTGGCGTATCTAATGATATCAAGAAAATTGAAATTGAACAGCCAAACACCAAGAAATTTCTTCATCCAGATGTGGTTCCTTGTCGGCTTTCTCATCTCAACGGCATCAGCCTTTTTGTTTGGCGGCGGGAATTCGCAGGTACTACAGGACAACTTACTAGGGAAGGCTTAAGACAACTTACTATGGAGGGTCACTGTGGGATTTCGAAATGAAAACCAGAAATCTCATTGTGAAAAATAAAAAGCAAAAGAGGCGAGTGGGGGATTCGAACCGATCACCAAAGGTGAGGTGATTAGTTTCGTAGACTATCATACTATCCACTACACCACGACTGCCATCCGGGAAGGTCGCATAAACTGTATAGCTGTATAGCAAGCCTGTATGGCAAAAACAGCTCAAAAATCTTGCTTCTACAACCTATTCAGCAGATTTTGATTACAGATTCGGATTTCGCGTTTGATTTTCTATCGAATGAGCTAGGACTCGTTTAGAAATAATCTAATATAAGAATTCTATGAATAGAAGCGAAATAATTTTTTTTGAGCCGTCTTCGCACTTAGGTGTTCCTATTTGCGCAGATCACAACCTGCTTCCACATTTCTCGATCCCTTGCTATTGTCATCCAGTGTTTCCTCCAGTGTTTCTTGGTTCGAAATCTTCGACTTGCTTGTGCTGGTGGTGGTTGCACTCTAGCCATCCGTTTTCTGACCGTCTCTGCCACTCTTGTGCTCCACCTCGTTGCTGGTCTTCCGATGGGCCTCTTCTGGTCTCGTGGTAGCCACTCTGTGATCCGTATCGTCCATGCGAGGACTGTCATCTGTTCTGTCGTCTGTTCTGTCGTCTGTTCTGTCGTCTGTTCCGTCGTCTGTTCCGTCGTCTGTTCTGTCGTCTGTTCCGTCGTCTGTTCTGTCATCTGTTCTGTCGTCTGTTCTGTCGTCTGTTCTGTCGTCTGTTCCGTCGTCTGTTCTGTCGTCTGTTCTGTCATCTGTTCTGTCGTCTGTTCTGTCGTCTGTTCTGTCGTCTGTTCCGTCGTCTGTTCTGTCGTCTGTTCTGTCATCTGTTCTGTCGTCTGTTCTGTCGTCTGTTCTGTCGTCTTCTGGCCGGCCCATCTGAGTCTTTTTCTCTCGATCACTTCCACTGGATCTCTGAGTCCCGAGAGCTGGCGCATATCCGTACTTCTTAGGTCTTGGTCGAGCTGCGTCTTCCTATTGTGCCCGAGTGCCTTTCAAGGGCTCGATGCGTCGTTCCCAGGGCTAAGAAGAAAAGTTACTAGTTTAAATAACCTAGTAGCCTTTCTTACACCTTCATTCTTTGATTCCCCGTGCTGGTACAAGAAAAATAAAGATTTAAGTACGCCAGAGTTTGCGTTACAAGTACATTCACGAGTTTTACTGTTAGAATCATAGAAATTCAAAGATTGATAGGAAAAAGGTGGAAATGTTTAAGGAAATCATTAAGGAAACTCTTTAGTGTTGTCCGCCATGCAATCCGCTTCCGATCTGCGCCCCTCAACCAATCTGTCCTCCACCTCCATTGTGTCTCCCTCCACCCCCAACTCTACCACCAATATCATTGCCGAAATTGGTAAATGTTTAAGGCAAACTTTGAAACAATCTTCTAGAGTATCTTCTTGTTTTAAGACTATCAAAACTAGCATAATCAAGCTGTCAATGGATTCGATTATTCAATCCAATCCAATTTTGAATCCAATTTCTAGGGTGGTTGCTGTAACTCGTGCGGTGGTTGCATGAAAAAAGTGAAGCGCTCAATCGACGAGGAAATGATGGAAGAGCCACAAGAGCCACAAATTGAGGCTACGGTAAGTGGGAATGGTTTAGAAAATTGAATTCTCATTTCCCTTTTCAGGATGCGATGATCTCTCGTCGTGAACGCGCGTCTTCGGATGATGTTGTAAAGGTTGACGCGAAATGTAACAGTCCAGAGTTAAGGGAAATCATCATCAATGTACTGACTGTTTTCTATACTCTAATTTATATAAATATTTAAGAATATGGATCGAGTGACTTCAGTGGCGAAGAAACGAATTCAAACGGCAGCTGAAGAGGAGCTAGGAGCGAGGTGAGCTGTGCTCAAGGGTTATTTAAACACATCCTTTCTAGCACACTAAACAGTGTTCTGCTTTTCTCTGTACTTTGTGCTCATTTCTTTTGAAGAATTAGATGCACCAGAAAGGAATTAGGTGGGCCCGAAAGGAATTAAGTGCGCCAGAAAGGAATTAGATGCACCAGAAAGGAATTAGATGCACCAGAAAGGAATTAGATGCACTAGAAAGGAATTAGGTGCGCCAGAAAGGAATTAGGTGCGCCAGAAAGGAATTAGATGCGCCAGAAAGGAATTAGATGTACCAGAAAGGAATTAGGTGCACCAGAAAGGAATTAGATGCACTAGAAAGGAATTAGGTGCGCCAGAAAGGAATTAGATGTACCAGAAAGAAATTAGGTGCGCCAGAACAGAATTAGGTGCGCCAGAACGGAATTAGGTGCGCCAGAACGGAATTAGGTGCGCCCGAAAGGAATTAGATGCGCCAGAAAGGAATTAGGGGCGCCCGAAAGGAATTAGCACACTAAACAGTGTTCTGCTTTTCTCTGTACTTTGTGCTCATTTCTTTTGAAGAATTAGGTGGACCAGAAAGGAATTAGGTGCGCCCGAAAGGAATTAAGTGCGCCAGAAAGGAATTAGGTGCGCCTGAAAGGAATTAGATGCACCAGAAAGGAATTAGATGCACCAGAAAGGAATTAGATGCACTAGAAAGGAATTAGGTGCGCCAGAAAGGAATTAGGTGCGCCAGAAAGGAATTAGATGCACCAGAAAGGAATTAGATGCACTAGAAAGGAATTAGATGTACCAGAAAGGAATTAGGTGCGCCAGAACAGAATTAGGTGCGCCAGAACGGAATTAGGTGCGCCAGAAAGGAATTAGATGCGCCAGAAAGGAATTAGATGCACCAGGAAGGAATTAGATGCACTAGAAAGGAATTAGATGCACCAGAAAGGAATTAAGTGCGCCAGAAAGGAAACGTTTACAATTAAAAGAATTTCTGATTTGATTTTAGATTCAACGTGATTTGTGCTCGTGGTGATTTCTCTTACATTACAAACACCGAATTGTACTGTCAACAAACTGTTGGTGATGTCACTTGCTATGTCTTCAAGCAACTCTCCGATATTGTTCGAAGCAAACTCTAGACAAATTTTGATCTATATCTATATTCATTTACAGTGAGATTTAAAGTGTTTAGCTTTATTTATTTCATTTTTTGTCATTTCATTGCGATAGTTTCGTTAAATAAAGAAAAAAAGCACAAAATTTTAGTATTTTATTCCAGAATTAAACAGAAATTTGATTATCGAACCGTTTTCCCATCGAGAATCCAACTTTTAGCTCTAATTTCTTTGTGTCTGGCTTTTCAATTTATAAATTATTGATATCATTAGATGCGCCAAGTTTTCCTCTATCGATTGGTATAAAAATTATTTAAATTCAACAGTCCGACACCGAGATATTTGAGCTAAAAGGAGGCGGGGTGCGTATAAAAGGTCCGTCGCCCCGCCCCTTTTCCCATTGGCAATCCAACTTTTAGCTCAAATATCTCGGTGTTGAGCTGTCCAATCTTAATAGTTTTTGTACCAATCAATAGAGAAAGCCTTGGCGCATCTAATGATATTAAGAATATTGAAATTGAACAGCCCAACACCAAGAAATTTGAGCGCAAAGTTGCCAATGGCAAAGAGGACGGGCAAATTCCAGAATCAGTCCTCCAGGCCAGATGCTAGCTTGGCCCAACTCCCGTAGCTTTATAAGTCTACTCTAGAACTTGCCTGTTTCTTGATTTTATAGTTTTAGACTACGTTACGATTTATTGCAGTTTATTATATAAAACTTTTGAATAGCGTTCTGTCTGTGAGCTTTCTTGGCTCCAATTCTATCTCGTCAATTTATCTAAATCAGGTTAGAATCATCAAAACAATAGATAAATATTTGCAAAGTTTATATTGGGTTGGTGAATTGAAAACTGCAGGACTTTAAACTAGAATTTATTCAATATAAAACCATCAACTCATTCGAAATAATTTCCATTATTATTGACGACTTCTGCTCATTTTACAGGCGATTTTCGGTTTTACAGGCAATTTCCTCTGGTAGGGTTTTGGTTTTGAATCGAAAAAGCCTTCAAAGCCAATTTTTGACTGCTTCTTCCGAATCGAAGTGTTCTCCCGCAAGCTACAGGAAGCCAGGGTACAAATTTGAGCTCCCGTCCACAAAAGCACTCTTTCTCGAGCTATCAAGTGTTACATCCGTTACATCAAAAGACCAGTCATAAAGAAAGCACCAAAACTGAAGCCGGCACACAAAAAAAAGGATTTCTTGGGCTCGGGATCACCATTCCGATCGATGGTGACATCGATTGGAAAATAGTAAATTTTTTGCCTTGAGTTGTTAACTATTTTTTCTTCTTTTTATCTTCAGCGATGAGAAAAAATTGAATTTCGATGGTCTCGACGGCAACAAGTACCATTGGCACGATTCGAGAAAACATCCAATGCATTGTGGGCGTCGAAACTTCGATGGAGGATCACTATGGAGGATATGGAAGATATGGAGCGCTTTCAATGTGGATGACGTTCTTGATTTATTGGGTTGGTGAATTGAAAACTGCAGGACTTTGAACTAAAATTTATTCAACATAAAACCATCAATTCATTCGAAATAGTTTTCATTATTATTGACGACTTTTGCCCATTTTACAGGCAATTTGCGGATTTTCGTAGTAGGGTTTTGGTTTTGAATCGAAAAACTTTCAAAGCCAATTTTTGACTGCTTCTTCCGAATCGAAGTGTTCTCCAGCAAGCTCATGATCCGGAATTGTGGTCCGGAATAATCATGATCCGGAATAAATAGTAATCAAAAAGTCCGGACTGTATGGGGAATGCGCCAAAAGTTCCCCAAACAAAGCTATTTATTTTAGAGCGACTCAGTTTTGCAACATGAGGGCGCGCGTTGTCGTGGATGAGAACGTCGTGAGTGTCGTGGATGAGAACGATCTTTAACTTGCAGGGCCTATTCTTCTTCCGGGATCCATTCACCTTTCCCAACTGTTCACTGTATTTGATTGCATTAACGGTCATCTCGCTATCCAGCAACTCCCAATACACCACTCCCTTCATATCCCAGAAAACGCAGAGCATAAACTTCTTCTGGTGCAAATCGGGCTTAGGGTCACTTTCGGGTTTCTCGCCTGGCCCCACACATTGCCACTTCCTCTGAAAGTTCACAGATAAGACCCATTTCTCATCTCCTGTCACAATTCGAGAAAGGAAAGATTTCCTTTTGTATCGTGAGAGATGGACAGCACTGATCGAGGCGCGCCGCCACTTCTGGGGGTCAATGAGGTCATGGGGCACTCAAGTCCCAAGTTTTGATTTAAATCCAAGGGTATGAAGGTGTCTTAGCACTGTGGCATGATCAACCCTTAACTCTTCTTTCACACGATGACACCCGATGGTTGTTGGTAATAAGTTTGAGTAATTTGGAGTCATCCAGTTGGGGTGCCGCTCCACGGGGCCTCTGCTTCTTTCAAAGATTTGTTCCCAGATCGAAACTTGGCAAACCATACTCGACACGTTCTTTCGGAAGGTGAGTCCTCCGCATACTTTACTTTACTGTACTAGTACTGTACTTGTACTTTACTTTACTTTACTATACTTGTACTTTACTTTACTATACTTGTACTTTACTTTACTGTACTTGTAATTTACTTTACTGTACTTGTACTTGTTTATTCATCACTTTGGTGAGTGTTGAATAAACTTTAGAGAGAGAAACCTGGAAGACAGCCATGAACTCGAGGTTTCAATTGAGCAAAACAGTTTTGCAAAAGAGAAAACGAATCTTTTCCATGTTCTTTTCCAAATCCCCGATTTCATGGCTCACCCAGGGAAAGGGGAAAAGTGAAAAGTGACCCCATTTCGCCATTTTCTCCTTTCCTCTCTCCTTCCCTCTCTCCTCGATCTGAATCCCTTTCAACTCCACCCAAAATTTCATCCCTATTCCTATTTTAATATTCACCTATATTCATCTAATCAATTACAATCTAATTTTCGACTTTTCCTCTTCAACTTCAACAATTGAAATGCCTATTTCTACTGATGACTTGGAGAATATTGAAAAATTGAGAGCTCTTGTGAAAGATGAGGTTGGGATTTACATGTTTATTCTATCGATATTCTATCTGTTGTGTTAACCAAAAATATTCCTACAAATAAGTTTAAGCTAAAACCAATTCAAAACCAAGTCAATCGTTAGCTTTTTGACTTGAAAACGAAGCCTGGCTTAACTGTGACAAGATCCATTTTACTATTGTGTACCTTTTGTCACACTACCGTAACCCTGTGCCTATATAAGACACGAGTTTTCTCTGATTTTTCCCTTCATTCTTTATTCATTCCTTCATCCTTTATTCATGTTTTCTCTGCTCTTTGCCAATTTCTTTGTGTAAAGTCCGTCTGTTGATTAACGCCTGTTGATTAGCATTGTTTAAACCATTGCTATAGTGTTTTATACTGTTCTGATACAAACCAAAACTCTGGTTTGTTTACAAAGAGTGCTGTGTGGCTGTCTCGAATTAAAGGCCTGGATATGATCCAACCGGTGAATCGGTTCATGGACTTGGATTTGTCTTGGACTTCATTAGACTTCTTTGGACTTCTTTGGACTTCATTGGACTTCATGGGACTTCATTGGACTTCTTTGGACTTCTTTGGATTTCTTTGAACTTCTTTGGACTTCTTTGGACTTCATTGGACTTGTCTTGGACTTCATTGGATTCACTGGACTTCATGGGACTTCATTGGACTTCTTTGGACTTCTTTGGACTTCTTTGGACTTCTTTGGACTTCATTAGACTTTATTGGACTTCATTGGACTTTACTGGACTTCATTGGACTTCATTGGACTTGTCTTGGACTTCATTGGATTCACTGGACTTCATTAGACTTTATTGGACTTCATTGGACTTCACTGGACTTCATTGGACTTCACTGGGTCTCATTGGACTTCATTGGACTTGTCTTGGACTTCATTGGATTCATTGGACTTCATTGGACCAACCGTTTTCGCCTTCTCTTCACCGCCAGAAGCTATCTAGAGATCGTCAAATAAGAGTAGAGATTAGAATGTAGGCGTAGATTTTGTTAAAATATAGTCTATTAATGCCTGCGAATTGTGATCATGCCGAATAAATAAAATCAAAACCGGTATACTATTCAAGCCTATATCCAATGACAGACTAGCTATCTTTAATTCATTTCACTTCTAGTTTGTCAAAAAGCGAGCTTGAAATGGCTGCGAACGGCCAAATGGCCAACCTTAGTCTAGCGCTTTAAAATCTTAAATCCAAATCCAATATCTTGTCTTCACTTCAGATCACTCCCTACTATGACACAGATTTCAATTTGTTGCGCTGGTTGAAAGGACACGATTACAATTTCGATTTGATTCTGCCAAAATTGCGAGTGAGTTTTTGGAAATCTTCTTTAAAAAAAGAAACTTCTAGAATCATCTCCTTTTTCGTAAATCTCATTGGGATCTTGATGGGATGGCGGATCGAGAAAGAAATCATCCAATACATCAACATTGGAAAGTAAGAGGAAATACCGTAAATACTGTAATAATACCCCCTCCGCCCACGTACAGTCGCGTAGTCGCAAAAGTTTTTTAGTATTTCATTTTTTTCAAAGCGCCCGTACTTTCAAAAAATGCGTCTTTGGTATCAAAAAATAGCCCTGAATCTCAGCTATTTTTTGATACCTTCTAGCGCATTGTAGCATAAACCAGTGTCGAGAAAAACTCGTTCAAAGCTAGACTACGCAACACACCGCACCGTCATTATGGGGGTGGGGTGCTATTACAGTATTTACGGTAAGAGGAAATAAGAGGAAAACTCTTAAAAACACGAGTTTCTAGTGGGCTTTTCTTGGATTTTGACGAATAAAAGAAGAATCTATTTGGGGTGGAAATGGGTTTAGAGAGTTCAATTGAAAATGTACTTAAAGCCTTCTTGTACTTGTACTTGTACTTAAAGCCTTCTTGTACTTGTACTTGTACTTAAAGTCTTCTTGTACTTGTACTTAAGGCCTTCTTGTACCTGTACTTATAGCCTTCTTGTACTTGTACTTATAGCCTTCTTGTACTTGTACTTAAGGCCCTCTTGTACCTGTACTTATAGCCTTCTTGTACTTGTACTTGTACTTGTACTTAAGGCCTTCTTGTACCTGTACTTATAGCCTTCTTGTACTTGTACTTAAAGCCTTCTTGTACTTGTACTGGTACTTAAGGCCTTCTTGTACTTGTACTTAAAGTCTTGTTTAGGGAGGTCTCACTGGAGCTGCTGTCATTCGCCCGAATGCGATCGTGAATATTGAGCAAACTGGACCAAATGATTACTGGGGAATGTTGCAAACGTATTCGATAAATGAGGTTTTAAAGGTAATATTGATCTTGATATTGTATTGATCTTTTAAAGAAGAAAACTACCGTAATCTTGTCTAAAATATTCTGTAGTTCAACTAGCCAGTTTCCGTTTGATTAGCTCAATTTTTTTCGATCATTTTCTGAGCACAGTTTCTTTGCATCGAAGCTGACAAAATTTTGGTTAGCTGAATGGAAAACTGGATGGATTACGATCGATTACGGTAGTTTTAAGTGCTTTTTAGGGAACTGATTAACTCATTTGATTGTTTTAGGCAAGAGTTCACGATTTGGAGAGTATGCTACGAGCTGTCATGGATTTAGAGAAACAAACTGGTAAAACAAAAGCTTTTGTAAAGCCTTCTTAAGCCTTCTTAAGCTTAGGCTTAGGCTTAGGCTTGGCTTAGGCTTAGGCTTAGGCTTAGGCTTAGGTTAGGCTTAGGCTTAGGCTTAGCTTAGGCTTAGCTTAGGCTCAGGCTTAGACTTAGGCTTAGACTTAGGCTTAGGCTTAGGTTAGGCTTAGGTTAGGCTTAGGTTAGGCTTAGGCTTAGGCTTGGACTTAGTGCGAAGGCTTAGCTTAGGCTTAGGCTTAGCTTAGGTTAGGCTTAGGTTAGGCTAAGGCTTAGGCTTAGGCTTAGGCTTAGCTTAGGTTAGGCTCAGGCTTAGGCTTAGGCTTAGGTTAGACACCTTAGCTTCATAAGCATCAAATTCGACAGCCAAACACCAGAGAAATTTGAGATTGTCAATGTTAGAATGTCAAGGTTAGATTGCAAAAGGAGACGTATCAAATTCCCCACAATTCCCTGAAATGTACTAGTACTGGAGTGAAAGCTACTTTACTAGTACTGGAGTACTGGAATAGAGTATTATAATATACTATTTTTAAGCTTTAGACCGTCTTTCTTTACTCACCCTGACTCCTCTAGGGAAATTCGGGTAATAACTCGGGTAATAACTCGGGTAATAACTCGAGATTTCTTAAGCAAGCTGGCTAGATCATCAATCATTTTTGATCATTAAGCTAGATAGCTAAGCTTTAATTAAGCATTTTTTCTAGGTGAACAATGCAGTATCATGTATTTCATGGACTTAAATGGACTGAAATTCGATCGACGCACAACCACGCTGATTACAGGTGATCTTCGATTTGGAATAGGGGAAAATCAAGTAAAATAAAGCAAAACAAAGTAAAACAAAGTAAAATCAAGTAAAATCAAGTAAAATAAAGCAAAATAGAGCAAAACAAAGCAAAACAAAGCAAAATGAAACTCAAATCGTCAAAATCTATGCAAAACTCTAAGCTGAACTTCAAAAATCGGCATTATCTAGGTGCTTTGGCCTCGATCTCAGCGTTCATGGCCGAACACTATGTGGAAATGGTACACACGTTTGTCCTCGTCAACGTGCCGACCTTCATTCACGCAATATGGTTGGAAACTAATTCTAGCTCTAGATTTAGAATTAAACGCTTTACAATTAGAATTAGAATTAAACAATTAGAATTAAAAAAATTAGAATTTAAAGATTAAATATTTTAAAATTGCCCTATCCTCGCAATTTTTGTATTTCATTTTTCAAAGCACCCGTTTTTTTCAAAGCGTCTTTTTAAAAAATGTGTCTTTAGCATCAAAAAATAGCCCTGAATCTCAGCTATCTTTTGAACCCTAAACGCGCGTCGTAGCTTAAACCAGTGTCAAGAAAAACGCGTTCAAAGCTAGACTACGCAACACTCCGGACCGTTGTTGCAGTTTTTACGGTAGGCTAGGCCAGTTTTACCTATTTTGGACTGGTTTTACTGTGTAATATAAGCTTTAGACAGGTAAATTGATCCAAAAAGTTGGTCAGTAAGCCAAGGCAGATTAGAAATTGCTCAATCTGAGTTGTTTTGACCTGGATAGTGGTCAGAGTTGAGTAGAAAGGCTAGTTGGGCCCAGATCAGCACGACTTTAATATAAAACAGGCTTTTTTTCGGGCTGGGGTGTTGTCGCCATGGCGCAGTTGGGAGCGAGCACGTTTAGTGCTCAAAGCACCGGGGTTCGACTCCCCATGCCGCTTTTTTTTTGCTTGTTTTCTTTAACAGGCAAGTTGGAGCTAGTTCTTAAGACATAAGAATGTTCTTTAACAAGCCAGTAAGCCAAGTTCTGGCCTAGTAAGCCCCGAAGTAGCCTAGTAAGCCCCGAAGTAGCCTAGTAAGCCTAGAAAATTCTAAATTCTCTAAAATCTTTGAAAAATCATTTCCAGGACCCTCGCTCGTCCACTTTTACCCGAAAAGACGAAGAATAAAGTGCACATTTTGGGGAGCAATTGGAGGGAAGAGGTGCATCGATTTCAAATTAGAATTCTTTAATTATTCAATTCGTTTTGCAAAAATATCATGCTATTTATCTAGTTGGAAAATCTCGTTCACAAATCCTTTAATTCATATGAACTTAGGTCCTCAAATACGCAAATGCGGACGTGTTGCCGACTTTTTGGAATCTCGATGGAGAGACTGGGGTCAGCTTGCAGCTTTACAGCTTTACTGCTTTACGGCTTTACTGCTTTACGGCTTTACAGGCTTACAGCTTTACCGGCTTACAGCTTTACAGCTTTACAGGCTTACAGCTTTACTGCTTTACAGGCTTACAGCTTTACCGGCTTACAGCTTTACTGCTTTACAGCTTTACTGCTTTACTGCTTTACAGGCTTACAGCTTTACCGGCTTACAGCTTTACAGCTTTACTGCTTTACAGGCTTACTGCTTTACAGCTTTACTGCTTGACAGCTTTACAGCTTTTTTCTCTCTTCTAATATCATTTTCAACAACTTAAACAATAAGTTTTAGCCTTTTGGTGCAGCACTTCAACGAGCCGTGCCATTCTCTGAAAATGAGTACTACAAAAAAGAAATCTCCGAGAAAGCTGAGGTATTGAAACGAATTTCATAGACTTTCTGCTCAAAAACAGCTAAACGCACCCTTTCTGGTGGACTGGATTTAAAAACCGTATGCCAAATGGCTTCAAAAGTGGCGTGAGAAGAGCGCACAAATAAGTCTGTATAAAAGGGAACTCTCAGCACGCCAGAAAGAGTATGTTTACACATATTTTTGAGTAAAAAGTACACAAAAGAGATCTTTTGAGCATTTCTCTTCAGTTATTCACGATTTCCGCGGGAAAAGCTGATTATTTCGATGCAATTGTTGAAGAGGTTCGATTTTTAACGCCAAAAATTTTTAAATCGACATTTTTAGGGTGAATCTCTAGAATGGATTATCGATGCCGATGGGAATTTTGCTTTTTGCATTTTCAAAGTCGACAATGATCATTTGAAAGCATCAGTGGACACTTTGGAAAGGATTTATCCAAAGTTTTCGGTCAGTAAAGCATTATATTGGGTTGGTGAGTTGAAAAAAAGTAATTAAAGAGTTATTAAACAGTTATTAAACAGTTATTAAAGAGTTATTAAACAAGATTTCGGAAAGATTTGAGATTTAAAATGAACAATAGTTAATTTAAATGTCTTCAAAGTTGGTGAATTGGTGAATTGAAAATTGCGGGACTTTGAACTAAAATTCATTCAATATAAAACCATCAATTCATTCAATATAAAACCATCAATTCATTCCAAATAATTCCCCATTATTATTGACGACTTCTGCCCATTTTACAAGCAATTTGCGGATTCCTCTTTCGTGGTAGGCTTTTGGTTTGTGTGTGAGACAAAAATGGAGGACTGGAGATGTCCCAGTGTCCCAGTTTGAGCACTTTCTTCAAAAGAAACCCATTTTGGTGTCAATGGGAAAGTTGTAGAGAATCAAAAATTAGGCTTATAGCCAAATTTCCAAAAAGATACACTTGGCTGGAAGTTGCTGCTTTCAAATGCGCGTTACTCTCCCGCTTTCGCGGCGTCAGATTACTCTTTCGATCGCTGAAAAAGTTTCTTATCAGAGAAAGGTTCAATGATCATGTTCAAATCAAAAGAAATCCCTAATTTTTCACAAAAGAGATTTGAAGGGAAGATGGGGGGAAAAAAGTGATAAAAAGTGATAAAAAAGCGATAAAAATGGAGAATCTCTTATTGATTTCTATAGAATACTATAAATTATTAGCATCCAAAAAAAGCTCATAATTTTTTTTGTTTCTCAATTTAATCTTATGAAATGAAAATGAAATGAATTAAGAATTAGATTCTAGGGGTTTATTGTTGTCATGCAATTGTCATTTTATCCATTCATCAGTTTCCTTCATCGTGATCTTCCCTTCACCACCAAAAAAGCTATTTAGTTCCCCATTGAGAGGTTCAATTGGAGGGTGAAAATCTTCTGATTGATAAACACAACTTTTCCACAAGCGACCATTTGCGAACAATGAAATCATCTTCCGGCATTGGAGCCTCTTTTTTCACATTCAAAAAGTGTATCCGGTTGAATTTGTAGCTGCGTATTCTGAGCATATGCGTATTCTAATTCTAAAGCTTCTTATGGACAATTCTCCAAACACTATTCTTGCTGATTTTCCCATTTTTCTCATCGATCGTGTGAGATTTGGGCGAATACGGTAACGGACTTTGTCCTTATCGACTTTGTCACGAATTTTCCGTCCTTATGATGATAAGGATCGAAAATTCGTGAGCACGTGTGGCTGACTGGTTAAGTGTCTTTTATCTTAATCGGAAGGTCGAGGGTTCGAACCCCACATGCGACATGGTCACCCCCTTCGGATTTCCTTTCCCTTCGGGTTGAGAGGTTTTCTGGAGGGCAGTCTGGTGGTTGTGGCCCCAGTTCTTTAAAGTGACAAGCCACTCCTTCATCGTCATCTTCCCTTCACCACCAAAAAAGCTATTTAGTTCCCCATTGAGCGTAGGGTTAGGGAGCCGTCTGTCATGACGTGGGTTAAGTTAAGATATAGCCTAGTATTGTGTGTGTCGTTGTATTGTGATTGATATATTTCGTGTATGCGATAAATTCACCACTGGTAGCCCCAGTCGGTATTTTTAAAATGAAAATGAAATGAATTAAGAATTAGATTCTAGGGGTTTATTGTTGTCATGCAATTGTCATTTTATCCATGCATGAGTTTCCGATAAATGTAATTGTCATTTTATCCATTCAGAAAGTGCCTGGTCCAACGATTGTCCCACTCATCGATTCGATCAAAAACCCTAAGCCAGGTAAACTTAAAAACATTACTAAACCTTTTGCACTATAGTACTATAGTACTATAGTATATAGTACTATAGTACTATAGTACATATAGTACTATAGTACTATAGTACTATGATAGCACTATAGTACTATCAGTTTCCTATACTTTGTGCTCTTGTAAACAAATCTTTTCTAGTGCACTTATGCTTTAAGAAATCATTACATTAAAAGGAACATTACTTCTAGAAAAATGAAGATTTCAGTGCACTAGAAAGGATGGGTTTAACGGTGAGCACAAAGTGCACTTTAGTCTGTACTCTACAAGTAAGTTTTCCTCGTAAACGCATCCCTTTCTAGCGCACTATCTAGCATTTGAGTGGTCAATTGAGTGCACCAGAAAGCGTGTGTTTCCTCATCTTAAACTACACACTTTTCAGGTCGTTACCGTTTCTGGTTTTCCAACGAGCACGCGTGGTTTCATACGCTCAAAATTCGAGCTGAAATTTCCCCGAAAAGGGTTCAAAAGTAAAGTAAATGTTTTCTTTTTGAATAAATCGATTACCAAAAAATCCATTACATTACTTTATCAAGAAATTAAGCTTTAAAATCAAGTGGAGCTTGTTTAAAACGTTAAAATGGGGGGTGAGACAAATGCGACCTTTTTTTTGCGCACCTCGACATTTGCGCACCTTTTTTTTTGCTGGAAAAGGCCTTAGGCAAGGTCGTAGAGCTTCAAAAATGTTTTCATAGAAGGGAATCGTATGCGTAGATTCAGAATTTCGACAAATCAGACCTCGCTGACACGTCAAATTTGGGCTAAAAGGCAAAAACTACGCAACTTAACGCTTTTCCGCAGTTTCCGCTTTTCCCCAAATTTGACGTGTCAGCGAGGTGTGATTTGTCGAAATTCGGAATCTACGCATACGATTCCCTTCTATGAAAACATTTTTGAAGCTCTACGACCTTTCCTAAGGCCTTTTCCAGCAAAAAAAAGGTCGCATTTGTCCCACCCCCAGAAATTAAGCTTTAAAATCAAGTGGATCTTGTTTAAAACGTTAAAATGTCTTTAAGATTGTCTGATAGGGCAATTTGATCAAGTGAATTTGAAACTGATAAGTTTTTTAGCTGACTTTTTAGCTGACTTTTTAGCTGACTATTTAGCTGACTTTTTAGCTGACTTTTTAGCTGACTTTTTAGTTGACTTTTTAGCTGACAAATAGTCAGCTAAAAAAAGCTAAGCTGAATTTCTATTACAAAAATCCATTACATTACTTTATCATTATCAAAAAGTTTACAGAAAATCATCAAAATCATCAAAATCATGATAAAAGATTAAAATAAATCATAAAATCATAAATCAAAAGTTTTTTTTTTCGATTTAAAAGAGACACCCGTTTTAATCAAAATTTGGTACAAATGAACGGAAAAAGAAAGAAAAAGAAAAGAAAAGAAAAGAAAAGAAAAGAAAATAAAAGAAAAGAAAAGAAAAGAAAGGAAAAAGAAAGAAAGAAAGAAAATTTCTGAGAAAACATTGTTAACAAATTGAAATCAATATAGAGAACATTGAAAAAGAAAAGAGAAAAGCAATTTATAAGTTTGAAAAGTTACAGAGAAGTTACAGAGAAATTTGAGTCCTAAAATTGGAAAGGAAATTTAAAAGGCTTGTTTTTTTGTTTAAAATTCAACAAATAATAAATGTTTTAGGGTTATGCTTTTAGAGAATTATCAGATTTTTCTATTAAGTAGACGGTAGATGGATTCCCTGTTGATTAAAAGATCCCTTAAAAGATATTTAAGTCTAAGCCTTATCTTCCTTTCTCTTTCCTCTTTCTCGCAAGAAGATACCGGATAGAGGATCTATCTACAACTAAAAAAGATCTCATTCAATCCCCCTCAGTGAAAAGCTATCCTCTCTTGACTTTAGAAAGGTCTATTATTGAATCTTTTGACATTGATGTCCAATGTCAGTCCAATGAGAATTGATGATTGAATGCTAAGCCGTGCTCCACGCCTACCGTATCCATTACTTGTCTGGCTTTAGAGAATTATCATACTTATCTATCAGGTAGACGGTAGACGGTTAAAAGATTGATTAAAAGATTAAAAGATTAAAAGATCCCTTAAAAGATATGTACGTCTAAGCCTTATCTTCCTTTCTCTTTCCTCTTTTATTTCCTCTTTCTCGCAAGAAGCTACTGGATAGCTCAGTGGTTAGAGCATAACCCTAAAACAAAGATCTATTGGGTTGGGGAGAATGAGTCGGCGCCGAAAATCAAAAAAATGTCTAAAACTTCTATTCGACTTCGTCAAATAATATTCGTTTGATATGAGTAGAATGGTTAACGAATTCTCTACAAAATCACATTTAAAAGAAAATTCAAACAGCGCCTCCGCTCAAGAAAAAGCCATTTTTTCACAAAAACTACAAACTGTGATCTAGAAAAAACCATTGGTGGGATCTTCCTGCAAATTTGGCAACTTAAGTAATTGAATGTGCTCTATCTTTTTTATATAAACACCAAAGAAGGTTTATGTGAAAGAAACTGTTCAAATGGATGAGTCGGACTCTTTGCCATTTTAACCAGCTGCGTTTCGAAGTTCATAAACTCCACGAAAGAAAAGCTTTGTGGAATCTCTCAAAAGTGATTTTGTAGAGAAATAGTGGATCCTTTTGATGAAACCAAACGTATGTTTAAAGAAGGCTTTATGTGTGCAAAAAGTCCCTTTAAAGTTTGGCGCCGACCCATTCTCCCCAACCCAATACAACTAAAAAGATCTGATTCAATCCCCTCTCCCAGTAAAAATCTATCCCCTGTTGACTTTAGAAAGGTCTATTATTTAATCTTTTGACATTGATGTCCAATGCCAGTCCAATAAGAATTGATGATTGAATGCTAAGCCTTGAAGATAATGCTTAGACTTACAGATCTTTTAAGGGATCTTTTAATCAATAGGAATCCGCTAAGCCGTGCTCCACGCCTACCGTACCCATTACTTGTCTCTTCTACTTGAGAAATTTATTTCCTTCAACTTTTGCATTCAATCTTACTCTTGCAACTTAACTTATCCTTTTGTTTTTGTTTAATAAACTTCTAAATGATTTTTTTAAACGGTGAGCACTACGGAGAGATTCATTTTTTATAGTGTGCTTAAAAAGAATAGCCAATTCTTACCGAAGCTTTGATAAACTGGCCAAAAAGTAGATCAGAAGCAGGGGACAGCTAAAAGCCGCTTTAGTCGCTAAAAGCCACAGAGATACGGTAATATTGGGTATAGAAAGTCTGTATTTAGTCAAAAGCTATTGCACATAACTTTTGACTAAATGCAGACTTTTCTATACCCAATAGATACATTAGCTTTCGCTAGGGGAATCTTAGAAAATTTAATTAAGATTCTACTACAAGAGCTTTTTCTTTAACATAGAATTGGAAGACTTCAGTGCTCCAGAAAGGATACATTTCTAGTTCAAAGTACACAGCCTTTACACTTCCTTTCTCTTGATTTTTTTGTCAATCTCTTAATCAACAGGCGGAAAGGCCTCATGAAATGAATCGGTTTTCGTTGTTGTCGAGCATTGTGACTGTGATGGGACAACGCCAGTCGATTGAGCTGTTGGAGAGGAGGGTAAACGCATATTGACAATTGATGGCAATTCGGGAATTGATTCCAATTGATTGTAGTCGGGTGGTGGAGGATAGGGTGGAGGGGCTTGCACACCGGCTAGACCCTGGAATGGAGAGTGATTAGAAAGATGAGTCTTGATAAATTTATGGATATTTGGGTCCAAGCTTGCTTTCTGTCAGCTTAGGGACCTTTGGACCTATCGAAAAATCAAAAATCCAAGCTGAGAAAAAGAAAAAGCTTTAAATTGTCGGCAAAAAAGGGCTGACAGATCTTTTGGTTACAAATCTAATTAGGCCAAATGCTAGGTAGAGTCTGATTTCATGGTTCGGCCTGGTCAAAGCCTAGACTGGCTTCGACCAGGCTACTGGCTTCGATCAGGCTACTGTCTGAAGCCAGCTCCAGACTTCTGGCTTCTGTCTGCAGCCAGATCCAGACTTCTGGCTTCTGTCTGAAGCCAAATCCAGGCTTGGTTTGTTCTTGACTTTGACTGGTTGGCCTAGTCAAAGCTTGAGGTCTAGACCTGGCTTCTGGATTGATCAAGAACCATGTGAGCCTTCCCAAGCCTTGCATTGACCCTGTTGATTAGATTTCTAGCTATTAAACGTTGTTGAATGTATCTATTAACCTGAAATAACCGTGGATCCCTATTCGCCCCGCCGGTCGGTCCATCATTGTACGGTGGTACATACATTGGATAACAACCCGATGTGTTTGTTGAAAGGACACCAGCATAGTAACCTAAAGAAAACCATAAAGAAAGCCATAAAGAAAATCATAAAGGAAACCATAAAGGAAACTTTGAAATTTCAAATTTAGAATCAAAATTCTTGTTTTCAAAAGCTTTACTAGAGTTGAGATATTTAAAAGTTTGAGCTACAGTGATAAGCAAAAAAAGAAATACCGATTTCGATCGATTTCTAGCTTTCCCCTTCTAGCTTCTAGATTTCTCCAAAACCAGCGTAACAAATTGTTGTCACCCATGCTGTATTTTACTTCTATTTTATAGATATAACAAATAGAAACTCTAACAACTTACTGAAAATTTTAATTTTTTAAATAAGCCAAAACAGGCGCACCAAGATGCCAGATTTTAATTTTAATTTTAATTTTAATTTTCTCCGCTTTACTCGTTTTCCAGTGTATTTTCATTTAATTCGATTTCGATTTTTTTTATTTTAGAATGGTTCAACGACAGCTATCAACGCCAGAGAAAGAAAATATTGTGGAAGCAAAGACAAATGAAATGGAAGAAGGTGGCCGAGCTGTTCAAATGTGATTCAAAGACCGTTTCGCGCATTGTTTCAAAGAAAATGACCGGAAATGGACGTCCACCAGTCACAGCGTCAAGCAAAGATAAGGCACTTGCGTTGGCGTAAAAGCTTGAGGATATTATATATATACTTTATCCGACAAGGAAAAGTGACAATGCAAACAGATTGAACAGCGTAGACGAAGAAAGATAATTGATATACAAACACAACTACAATTAGACACGTGTATATATGATATTAAAAACTAATTTAAAATTGACAGAGCTACAAGATCGAGCTTATATATTGAGGATTTAAAATAGTTCAGAGACGAAAAAATATTAGATTAGATTAGGTATTAGATCATCACGCGATATTAGATTAGATTAGATTAGATATTAGATTAGGTTAGATATTAGATTAGACTAGATATTAGATTAGATATTTGATCATCACACGATATTAGATTTTTATTTTTTATTTTAGAATGCTCGACAGCTATCAACGCCAGAGAAAGAAAAGATTGTGGAAGCAAAGAAAAATTAAATGGAAGATGGTGACCGAGCTGTTCAAATGTGATAACCGTTTCGCGCATTGTTTCAAAGAAGAAAACGACACGAAATGAACGTCCACCAGTCACGATGTCAAAAAAAGATAAGGCACTTGTGTTGGCGTAAAAGCTCGACGATATTAGATTAGATTAGATATTAGATCATCATTGTCATCATCTATGTGGCATTTTTATATATTATTTTGAGACCCCCATGTTTGTTGAAACATTAATTAAAATAAAGTTAATTAAAATCTTGAAACTTTAACTCTTTTATAAAAAAGTAGAAGTTTTTTTGCTATCTTTTGAAATCATAGAATTTGGAAAACGTTTAGTTAGTCAAAATTTGTCATTCAGTTAGTCAGTTAGACAAATTTTGTAAATGCGATGTGGCATTTTTGAAATCACTCCATTTGACATCACTTTGACATCACTTTGACATCCTAAGTCCTAAAGAGCCTTTTAGCCTTGAGTACTTGTACGGATTTTAGTCGTTCATTACCATTTTTTTGATATATCAACTCACCAGGTGGTTCGGGTGTATTCCCATTCGCTCCTCTCCTTTGTACGTGTCCTCCATTCCCTTGTCCATCGTGTTCATCAACTGATACACTTGATTGTGCGGCTCTTGGCATAGCGTGAGATCTTCTCCCGCCCAACCACAACCAAATTCTCGAATCACCAGTGCCGCCGCTCCCAGAAGCCAGTCTGAAAATGAACTTGGCTTTCATCGTTCATTCGATTTCATCGTTCATTCGATTTCATTGTTCATTCTTCATTGTATTGTATCATTGTATTGTCATTGTCATTCTCATTGTCTTCATTGTATCATTCGACTCTACACTCGTTAACAAGCTATCATTAAAAACATTAACAACATTAACAACTTGTGTCTTTTACTTTGCGAGAAGCTATTTGAGTCAGTCTTTTTCTTTTGATTAAAAGATTCGTTATTGAAAAGTTACCGTAAGGTTGATGGCTTTTGATGAAACTGCCGTAAAAGTGTCGTTCTATTAGAGTTTTTACGGTAAGTAAAGTCAAATTTTAGCTGCTGATCTTCATTTTCTATGTTTAAAGAGAAAAGAGTTAAATTTTGAAAAAACAGTCAAAGTACAGCAAGTTTTTAGTTCTTAAGTTTATCCAATTTCAAATTTTCAATTTATGCCAAGATTTTAAAGCCAAGCTAAGTCAAACCCTTTTAGCTTAGCATAAATATTATTGATGATGTTTAAAGAAAAGAGATTGAGCTTGAAACTAGGATCATTTTTGATCAGCTTTACCTTGACCAGACTTGGCTGGCTTTCCCTTAAACCTGAATATATTAGTTGTAATTGTTGTTATTGTTGTTGTTGTTGTTGTTGTCATTGTTGTTGTCATTGTTGTTGTCATTGTTGTTGTCATTGTTATTTTTCTAAACCTTTTCTCACCTGCACGATAGGCATATCCTCGTAATCATGGCAATGCAAGCGAAAAAAGCGAGCGCGAGAAATGGCACATAAACGAAGAAGGGCACATCGGACAGATCGAACATACCCCTCACTTGACATACCCGTTTTGGTGATGATGTGGGAAAGGAATCTGATGATATTGATCGAGTGCTTGGGGGACAATCTGAAATGGAAAGGAGATGAATGGAGATGAATGGAGGTGAATGGAGAATGAAAAGCCTTTAGCTTATTGGAAAAAATAGCAAATCGGAGTCGCTTTATTAGATGAATGAAGAAAAATGCAAATTGTAAATGCTAGAGGAGGAAACAAAACAAAACTAGTATGGGGTGCATGTATGGGAATGCTTGGACGATGAATCTTTTAAGAAATTAAGCTTTAAAATCAAGTGGATCTTGTTTAAAACGTTAAAATGTCTTTAAGATTGTCTGATAGGGCAATTTGATCAAGTGAATTTGAAACTGATCACTTTTTTAGCTGACTTTTTAGCTGACTATTTAGCTGACGTTTTAGCTGACTATTTTATACGGTTCCAATATGGTTCCAATACGGTTCCAATACGGTTCTAATACGGTTCCAATACGGTTCCAATACGGTTCTAATACGGTTCCAATACGGTTCCAATACGGTTCCAATACGGTTCTAATACGGTTCTAATACGGTTCCAATACGGTTCTAATACGGTTCCAATATGGTTCCAATACGGTTCCAATATGGTTCTAATACGGTTCCAATATGGTTCCAATACGATTCTTTTTAGATCCAATACGGTTTCAATACGGTTCTTTTTAGATCCAATACGGTTCGATCCAATACGGTTCGAATAAAAACTTAATCTTCTCAAGTAATTAAGCTTAAGAGAATTCTAAACGTTCAAAATTCGACTTTCCAACATCGTCAATACTCTAACAAGTCTTAAAAAAACAAATGAAATCAAAAATATTGAATCCAAATTGAATCCATTTAAAGATCACGTTTTCTTTTTTCAGTTTTGAGTTGAAAAGAGCGAAACTTTTTTTGATTTGAGAACAAGCTTCGTGGGAAAAGTTTCAAGGATTCAAAACTTTTGAAATCAAAAATGTTATCGAATTATGAAACTTGAAAATTTTACTTGCTTTAAATTATTTTCAAGTTTTTTCAAAGCCTTATTCATTTTTTTTTATAAGAGGAAGTCTTTTGGATCGAAGTAGAGCAAAAAAAACCAATCTTAAACTTAAGAAAAGGGAAAAAACACACGCGTGAACGCTTTCCCCAAAACTCTCTTCCGGACACAATTTTATTGAAAAAAAAAGAAGGAAACGGGGAAAATGAGTTTATAAAAAGTAAATAAAAGAATTGATTGGATTTAGATTGATTTTAGTTTTGAATAGAAAAAGTTATGGCAGTTATGTAATTGTAGTGGGGAAAAGAAAATGTACAAATGTAGAAATGTACGATTTGACGTCGATTTGACGTGTAAATGTACTGCTTTTTCGTCCACCATACTCGCAAAGGTATTTTTGGCGTACAGTCGCGTAGTCTTCACCAAAATATCGAAGTTTTTATAACAATAATATTGTTAACAAGGGTAAAACTCAAATTTCAAAAATTCCTCCGTCAGCCGCGACGCACGCTTCAAAACGTGGACGCAAAACGTCAACTGTGGCACGCAAGTAGGCAACATCAAGCTCGTCCCATGCTTTAAGGAGCGCTTTCTTTAACGAGTCAACTGTTCGATGTGGTTTAGCACACGCTTCAGCTTCTAAGATTGACCAGACTGAAAAATCAAGCGTAGTAAGATCGAGCTTGAGATGAAATCGGGTAAATTCTGCTCACACCAATCCTGGACCATTCGAGATTTGTGAGCCGGTGCTCCATATTGCTGAAATATCCAGCTACGTTGTCCAAAATGAGATTGAGTCCAGGGCAAAACGTCGCAAAATGAAGTGTCGCAAAATGAAGATGCTTGACTGTTGACCTTGACTCCTGATGACTCGAAGAAAATTCTTTCCATCGCCACACCCTACCATGGCTGAAGTTGGATGAAGATGGTGTGATATCGATTTGTGTGGAAATGGCATAAATTCGGTCATTCTGCTTGTTTAGCAATTGTTCAACGTTCAACATCGAATAATTTTTCATCTAAGAGCAAAATCACACCGCGTTGGTTGAATCAAAATCAGCTGCGCTGGTTGAATCGCCTTGGATACTTTTTCTTTTCTTTTTGGCAGCTTCGATGACCCCTTGACATTTGTTCTTTTTGAAAGCTTTCATCTTGAGTCCGCGACAACATCAAGCTTGTCCCATGCTTCAAGGAGCGCTTTCTTTAACGCACAATTCGACGCAAGGAAGGCTCAGAAATTCCCATTTGGTGTGACATGAGCCGGACTGATCATCTCGGGTTACGGCGCAACCTCTCTCGCACTTTTTTTGATGTTGGACTGAATCACTACAGAACGATTTTCTTCGACCAGCTCTATCCGCATTTGTCCCCAATTCCTTGAAGCGTTTAATCGTCTTGTTCACCAGCCGCGTAGAAAGTTTCAAATTTTGAGAGATTGCACGATCAAGATCAACGATCAACGAGTCAAGATTTGATATAAAAGCACGTCGATGCAACGCTATGCTCGAGTTCGAGAACACTTGACCATCTCTAAAAAAAAACACTATATAATCTTAGAAATTATATCAAATAACAAGGATAAACATGAAAAAAAAGTGAAAGATCTAAAATGACAACATATAGGTGGCACCAAATGGCTACAAATAAAGCTACAAATAAAGCTGACATCCCCAGGCCCATAATTATCACCAATAATTAAAGAGTGCTCCTAAAAAAATCAAATCGTAACTAAAAACAAATCGTTTAAGTCATGTTTGCCTAAAAAGTGCTCGTCTCTAAACGCGTTTTCTAAAGCTGCAAAAATTCCTACCTACATTTTCGAAAGTTTTTCTTGTTCTATCTCTATCGAAATTGTTTTTTTTAAAAACAAACAATGGAAGAATATGGTCAATAAAAGGAAAAGACCACGAACTACGTTCCCAGGACAATTTTTTCTCTATATTTTATTTTAAAAAATTTACCAGACTTAATTGCTATTGTTTAGAAAAAGAAGCTTATTCTAATTTAAATATTTCTAATCTAATTTGCAATAATTAAAGAAAAAGCTACTTTTAAATGATTCCATAGAATTTGGAGAGAAAAAAACAAAAACAAATAACGCTTTAACTTCTATTTTGGGGCTAGACTAATTTCCGCAATAGGGTCATTTGCGCAACTGGGTGCTTTGCGCAACTTGCCATAACTTTTTTTCTAAGTCGGTCAATTTTTATGATGTTGGCTTCATTTTGTAGATCTCAATAAGTGCAACAAAATGAAATCAAAATCATAAAGATTGGCTCACTTAGAAGAAAGTCCGCAATTTTTTTTCCGCAACAGGGTCATTTGCGCAACTGGGTCGTTTGCGCAACTTGCCATAACTTTTTCTAAGTCGGTCAATTTTTATGCTTTTGGTGTTATTTTGTTGCACTTATTGAGATCTAAAAAATGAAACCAAAAGCATAAAGATTAACCGACTTAGAAGAAAGTTATGGTGAGTTGCGCAAAAAAAAATTGCGGAAACTAGCCTACCCCCTGTTTACTCTTCAGTACGGTTCTGTCGGTTCGAGCCTAAGCCTAAGCCAAAGCTAGCCTCACCGGAAAGCCAGCTTTTCTGGCTTCTGGTCTTGCCTAGCTCTGATTAGCCTTGTCTATTTGACTTTTTCTGGATAAGCAGTATGCCAAAAATATTCTCAAAATTATCAAAGAAAGCTGAAAACTTTCAAATTTCTTTATTCAGCTAGGCTTTTATTTTTATTAATGACGCAATTGAGAGAAGCCATAAAAAAGAGGAAAGAGAGTGGAGAAAAACCCAATTAAGCGTCTCATTTTGGGAAAAGAAGGGAAAAGAAGGGAAAAGAAAAGGAAAGGAAAGGAAAGGAAAGAAAAGGAAAGAAAAGAAAAGGAAAGAAATGTCAAAACAATGTCTCCAATATAAATGGAACTAAAAGAAATGGATTTATTTTGGGAGAAAATGCTTGGAAATAAACAAGAAGTGGAGGATGGAGAGGGATAATAACAAGTTTGTCTGCGGCTCTTGATTCGACGTCAAAAGGATCAAAAGATTCGTGGAAATAGTGCTAGGCATCGTTTTTGAAAACTTTTTTCCTTTTTTGTCTTTGGATATCAAATTGAGATACTTTGTGGATCCTTATTTGGCACAACAGAAGCCTTAGAATACTAGATTTCGTGCTTTCACAAGAGTTGGTTGGCTTTATCCGAAAAGTAAACGAGTGGCGGTTCTGTTTGTCCATAAAGTGATGATCATTTTATAGTTAGCTCAGCGCCGAAGCTATTTTAAAATTCAGCTATCTTTTCCAAAAGATCTAAAGAAATAGAAATAGTTTGTTCAAATTCAAAGATCTCTAGTTTAGAAATGCTGCCAATGAAGCGCTGACAAAGTAGTGAGCTGAAATATTGGACTGGACACTGGACTGTTGTAGAGGGGAATTTTTCGGAAACTATGGTAGAATCAGAGTCCACTTCTCTACTATAGGATTAGCCAGGCTTAAGGAAGCCAAACTGCACTAGAGGCTAAACTGCACTAGAGGCCAAACTGTACTAGAGGCCAAACTGCACTAGAGGCCAAACTGCACTAGAGGCTAAACTGCACTAGAGGCCAAACTGCACTATCTGAGTCAAATCGCAAGCAAGCAAGTCGCAAGTAGGTTGATTCCATCGATCGGCTCTGGTTCTTGAGCCAAAAGCCATTTGAGCTTGTGAGTTTTCCACTATTAAGACAGGTGAATCGATAAAAATCAAAAAAAAACCTGTACTAGAAAACTTGAAGTGGACCGACTTCTGAAGATGAGCAAGAGGAATCGAACCCTCGATCTTCTGCTTGACAGGCAGACACTCTGCTAACTAAGCCATGCTTTAATTGTCAGTGAGATTGTCAGCGAAGAAGGCAGAAGATAGGAAGCGAGGTGATTATCAGCCAAGCAATTATCCAAACTGAGATCTAGGTTATCCCAAAAAAACCACAAAGCTAACTTTCTTTAAACTTT